GGCCTGTGGTGGCCAGCCTCCCATGGGCTAGTGTGCCCAGAGGGTCTTCACAGGTGGGCACTTCCTTCTGTGTGCATTAGGGGGTACCCATATATATGCACGCATGTAGAAGTATGCATGTGCACATGTGTGTACAAATGTGTAAGTACGTATGCATGTATATGCACATGCATGTATCAGCGTGTATATGTATGTGTATATATGTGCACAAGTATGCATGTGTATATATGTACGTATAAGTATGTATATGGACACGTGTATGTGCATGCATATGTGTGCATGCATGTGCCGATGTGTATATGTGCACGTGTGTATGAGTGTACGAGTGTGCATGTATGTGTATGCATGTGTAAGTGTGTATATGTACATGTGATATATATATATATATATACACACACACACATGGGCGCTATAAAAGGCATGACGTGCTTTTCTGCATTTTTATGCAAACTGTATCATGTTTTCCCCAATAACCTAATAATATCAAACCCATAATTTCATAAATACGATGGCTTAAGAAAAAGCTAAGGCAGGTATTAACATTTAGAAGTAAAGGTCATTTAGAGCCAGCAGGTGGCGTGGTGGCAAAGGCACTGACTCCCACATGTGGTTTGAGTCCTAGACCCAGCAGTTTAGAAAACACGCTGGGCACATGTACGTGCATGCCCAAAATCCCAAGAGGAGAATGGAGAAGAAGGGATGGCAGCGGGGCAGCCACTCCGGGGTGTGGTTTCTCACTTTCCTTCTGTCTCTGTCTCTCCGGTGAGCGCCCGTGCCTTATGGCAAAACACCGTGAAAAATAAAAACGAAGTTCATTTAAAGGAAGACGCGGAGTCAAGGAGCAGTGGAAGCAGTCGTTGCAGCCTCGGGTTGGGAGAGGCAGTCTGTCATGTCTAGCATGAGAACCGCGACCCAGAGCCAGGCTCTGCTACACACACCAGGCCCGCCACGTCCTGGCTGTGTGACCCTGAGTCAGCCACTTAACGTCTCTGTGCCTGCGTCCTCAGCTATATGATGGGGATAAAATACGACCTCCTTGGTACGTAAAGTCGGTGTAAGGATCAGGGCAGCTGTTCAGCACTGTGCAGAGGCAGGAAGAACCTACATGGCTGAGAGAGGTTCAAATCCTGGCCCCGGTGACTTGAAAAACACCAGGGATGTGCCCACATGCCCAGGATCTATCTTTCTTTTTTCTTTTCTTTTTTTTTTTAAGAGAGATTTTGTGGGCTGGCAGGTGGCATGGTGGTTGGGGCACTAAACTCCCACATGGCCGACCATGGTTCAAGTCCTGGACCTGGTAACTTACTTTCTCACTTTCCTTTTCTTTCTCTTTCTCTGGTCAAATTAAAATAATAAATAAATAAATAAATAAATAAATATTTTTTAAAAAATAAGAGAGAGAGATATTTTTGCTATATGACACACATGCATTCACCAGAGAGAAAGAGACAGAAAGTGAGAAATCACTCCCTGGGGGGGATGGCCACGCTGCAATCTCTTCTCCTCCAGTCTCCGCTCAGGATTTGAGGCACGCACACACAAGCACCCAGTGTGAGTTTAAGTCGCTAGGTCCAGGACTAGAACCGCTGTCAACTACATGGGAGACCAGAGATGTAACCATTACTCCATCTGCTGGTCCCATGCTTGATGGGATGGGGAGAAGGGAAAAACGGATTGGAGTGTGAGCGGGGCTCACTGAGGGCCTCTGTCTCTCGCTCACGCATGCGCCCTCTGGGGAAATAGTGAGTTTGTGCAGGTAAAACACTGAGGACCGGGGTTAGTGCCCTGTGTTTGCTGCCATTGCTGCTGCGCTTATTTTTACTATCATAGAAGATGTGGCCCAGAGGCCAGCAGGTGGTCTAGTGGTTAAGGCACTGGACTCCCACATGGCAGATTGCAGTTCGAGTCCCAGACCTGGCAGCTTGAAACTCAAGCTGAGTCTGTGTATGTGCGAACCCAAAATCCCAAGAGGAGAATGGAAGAGAAGGGATTGCAGCATGGCCCTCTCCCTGGGGGGTGAATTTTCACTTCCTCTCTCTCTGTTTCTCTCTGTCTCTCCGGTGAGCACACACGCCCTACAGCAAAAATCTCTCTCCAGCACTACCCTTGCCCCCCCCAAAAAGGATATGACCCAAGAGCCAGCAGGTGGCATAGTGATTAAGGCACTGGATTCCCACATGGCTGACCACAGTTCGAGTCCGGCCCTGCAGGCTTGTTTTCTCCCTTTCTCTCTCTGTATCTTTTTGTTCAAATTAAATAATAATCATCATAATAAATAATGTCAAATAAATCATTCTTTTTAAATACATAAATAAAAGATGTGACCCAACAGACCAGCGGAAATTGCAAAGGCAGCAGGGGAAGTTCCAAGGTCTGGGAACGCGACGTCGAGCTCCGACCACCTGGGACGGCGAGTTTTAGACGGAATCTCACATCGTGGAAATAGGCTCCAAGAGGCCAGATCACCTTCCCGAGGTCACGCAGCAGTGGTAGACCCAGGGCTCAGACCCGGCGCTCAGGCTGGGGTGAGGAAGAGGATGGGAAAGCTAGGGTGACAGTACCAGAGAGCAGGTGAGGCCAGACTTGTCACTGACGAACAGACAAGGTCACCGACCTGTCCCCTCCAGCCATGTTCGTCAGCCAGCCCCTGTCCCTGACACCCCGGGCTGCCACATGCTCACCCTGGCCGATGTCCTGGGTTACTCATTAAGCTCCATTTCACCATCGTCTGCCCAGTTGGGGTGAGGCCACCACACAGAGCAGAGAGACGGAGTCCTTGTCACCTGAGGGTCCCCCCCCCAAGTCCCTCAGAGTGCAAGTTTAATCCTGGACTCTGCAGCTTTTGTTTCCCAAGCCCTGGGGGTGTTATTCCATTAAACTTAAACTGGGGCCCAGACAGTCAAGCGCCAACCAGCTCTGAAAATAATCTAGCCAGGATTTGGGGTTTCTGGTACCCAAGACCACAAGGTATCTCAGCTAGGTTCTGGCTTTTCACCCATTGCTGAGAAGATAAGCCATGCTCGACCAGAGGGGGTCTTGTACTCGGGGGCTGCACTCCCTCCTGCTGGAGCTCAGTGGCCTGTTCTCTGTAGAGGGGCATGGCCCCACATTTAC